TGCTGTTACCTTCCCACCAAGGTGGTCCCTATTTTTCTACTTGCATTTTTTAATGTGCTTTCAAACTGCTAGGCTGGCAGAAGCTGGGACAAGTATTGGGAGCTCACTCCATTATGCGGCGCTAGGGATTCAAACCCTATAATATATAATAGAAATAAAATATATTATAGTAATTAAGTACACTTTTATCTTTAGCTAGGGGTGTCCATGGCTCAATGATTAAAGACACTGACCTTATTAGCTGGAAAGCTGACAGACCAGGTTCAAGACCCAAGTGCCATGCAATGGGAAGAGCTTACATTACTTGCCCCAGCTCCTGCCCACCTAGCAGTTCAAAAGCATGCAAATGAGAGTCGATAAAAGAGGTATCACTTTGGTAGGAAGGTAACAGCATTAGGTACACCTTGGTATATGGTCATGCTGGCCACATGACCACAGAGGTATCTTGGACCAGTGGTGGGTTGCAAGTGGTATGCCCCAGTACAGGCATACCGGAGCCTGCCCGGAGCACCAGGTACCGTTCTGGTATGGTGCTCTGAAGAGCCCGCCTGCCCACCCAAGCTGCTTACCTGTCCTTTAAAGCCTTCAGCGCTTCCGCGCACACACATGGCATGTACAGCTCCTGCGTGACACTCCGCTGAACAGCTGGAGCATTGCGGAGGCTTGCGGAGGTGTCGCTGGCAGGTACGACACATGTGTGTGTGCGCGTGCACTGCGCACTTTCATGTGGAGGATGCTGGGCCCCGTTGCAACCGTACTGATTGCAATGGGATCCAGAACCCACCACTGCTTTGGACAATGCTGGCTCCCTTGGCTAAGAAACAGAGATTAACACCAACCTTTAGAGTCAGATAAAATTGCACAGGAGAACCTTTATCTTTACATTTATATCTATAGTTAAGACCATGAGAGCCTCTGATAATGGAGGGAGGGGGGAAAGAGAACAACAGAAGATAACATTTATAGTAGAGGGTTGAATTGTGGAGTCCTTGGTGCCCTCTGATTTTTTTTTATTTTTTATTTTTGCAATCGTTTCATTACCAAACTAGGTAACCTCCTCAATGCTAGTAGGGGATGGGGGTTGTCTGTTTATATTCTGTGATTTGCCCTGCCAGTGTCACATCACAAGCCAAACAACCAATTTCAGTGAGTACCAAAGGCTCCAAAGAAAACAATGGTAATGTATGTTTTAGGAAGTTATAAAAAGCAAGAAAAATGATGCAAATTTAACTATTCCTTTGTATAATAAATACGTACAATGCTGTAAGAAGCATCCCACCCTTTTAAACAATGTTTTTTTTTAAGTAAGCAAGCCAGTCTGAAAGGTACAAAATCTCCTTTTTGTATCAAGTAAGAGTTTCTGTTTCCAAGGTCAACTTTTCCCTCAAAGGCAGCCCACTAGTGTTATAAATTAATAAAAGTTGCAAACAACCAAAACTTTTTAGTGGACTGAAAAATATGCTCACAAACGAGGGAGGTAGAAAGGAAAGGCAGACCCTCCCACAAGGGTCATATCAAAAATTAAGGATGATGTAAATGAATCTATTGTAGGAAGGGAAGGGAATTCAAATGAGTTTTCCTGTGTTAAGAGCATTGCTTAATTATCAACAACAAAGGCACACTTGTTCAAAGCTGTGACCTGGAGGTCTTTAACAGGCAAATTTCCAGTTGGCTGTAGTGGGCCTTTCTGAATATAATATTGATGCAAACTCGAACTGGGATTTCTTTATGGATTGCTTATTCAGTATTATTTCTTCGGTACAAGAGGATGCTTTGGATTGTGCATGAGTGCAACATCTCTCCGTAAACACGAAAGCAGAATACAGAGTAGGAAGAGACCTTGGAGATCTTCTAGTTGAACAACAGGAGAAAATGGAAAGGAAGAAAGGGTCATTAGCAATAGCAATAGTACTTAGACTTACAGCCCTCTCTAAGCGGTTTACAGAGTCAGCTTATTGACCCCAACAATCTGGGTCCTCATTTTACACACCTCGGAAGGATGGAAGGCTAAGTCAACCTTGAGCTGAAGTGAGATTCGATCTGCCAAACTGCTGGCAGCTGGTGATCAGCAGAAGTAGCCTGCAGTACTGCACTCTAACCACTGTGTCACCACGGCTTAATCATCCTTTCCAAAGTCCTGGTTGAAGAACTGGGTCTTTGGAGCCCTTTCAAATACCAGTTTGGTGGGAACCATTCAAATTTCAGTGGCAATCTCATTCCTGACATGGTTTCTTGCTAAATCATATCCTGATCCTGAAAAATAAAGCCTTGGAGAGAACATGGTAGGTTTTTTTTGTCTCATTACAAGAATCTGAGATTTATTCCAGCCAACAAATTACTAACTTTCATTCCTGATATGGAGATATTAGACCAAAATGTGAAACTCCTTCTTTTGACCTCTCTTGAAAATCTAGTAGACATTCTACTCTTCATTAGGTTGATTGAACACTAATAGGAAAAGTATTGCTTTTGTACCTGAGAGACCACCTCCTGCCGATTACCTCCCATAAACCGATTAGATCTCACAGGATAAGTCTTCTCCGGATACCATCTGCCAGCCAATGTCAGCTGGCGACTCCCCGGGGGAGAGCCTTCTCTGTTGCAGCTCCAGCCCCTCTGGAATGACCTCCCCGTGGAG